CAGGCGAGGCATGCACCATGCCAGGTGCTTTCCGCGATAGCGGGGAGGTCGTATAGACTCGCGGCGGCGATGGAATGGATAGCGAAGAGTCCCATTAGCGTCTCGAGGATCTGGTCGGCAAAGTCGGTCGGTAAGCGCTCCGATATCCGAGCTACGGCCTTGGCAGCGGACCAGCGAACGATGGTGTCCTTGGCGGGTTATGAGAGGAGTATAACGACAAGGGAGGGAAATCACCTTATCCTGTAGACTTTTGAAGAGCTGTTCCAATACGACCTCTACTTCTTCCGGAACCTCTATTTCGTCCTCAGGCGCCGACTCTGGCACGCTTGGCTCGTTCCCGGTGAGGGCGCGGCCTTTCCTGCGCGTCGCATTTGAGGTTGGCGGTAATATACGCAGCGGGATGCGGGCTAAGAGCTTCGTTTTGAACTTGCGCACGACGGTGTTGCTGTTCAACACATCGCGCGCCTCGATCCCCTCCGCGATAGCAAAAAATCTTGCGGCGTGCGCCTGAACGAGGTCCGCAGGGCCAGCTTTGGCGACCTCACAGAGCACCTGCAGTGCACCGATAAGGGTGAACGCGTCCGGCGAACCCGCGATGCACTCGTCAACCCATCCAAGGAACGGACCAAAACGGACCCGCGTGTCTGTCCGCATGTAAAGGCGTGCGAGAAGCAGCGCAGCGCCCTCGCGCTCAAGCCCCGCGCGTGCGAGGAGTGGGCGCGCGAGGGCCTCTAGCGCGTCGGCGGTCTCACCCTCCGCATGCTCGTCAAACTGCGCAAGGTCGAAGGGAATTATGCATATAAGGGCGAGCCAGAGCAACGCGGCGTACCGCAGAGCCCATTGAGGGGGTTCGCGGGCGACGCCGCGCATGCACGCCCGCGCGAGCTCAAGGTCTGCGACTTCATGCGGAAAGAACCTGACTGGAAGTAGATACGCGTCAACTGAGGCAGAGGATAGGGACAGTAGAACAGACTGACTGATCGTCTTGTACCCGCGACTCTTGACGTAGCTATACAGCAGCAGCGCGACGCGCTCGATGCGCGCAGGGTTGGTTGGATCATTGTCAGTAATATTATTCGCATTCAGGGTGTGCGCGTAGTTCCTGAGTTTTCCGACTACAGGCTCGACGAGTTGCTCAAGAAACGGATCGAGGAGATGGGCCTGCTCCTGATACTCGTCGAGCTAGGCGGCACTTAGCAGCGGAAGGCGGTGGACTTTGAATGCCACACACGATCTCGGAGAGGCGGCGAAACAGAGCAGCTTCCTCTCTGTCCTGCTCGGGGGTCGTCTTCTCGCGGAGATCTAAAGCAAGCAGCTTGGCCTGTGCATCCGTAAACTCGCCGTGCCGCTCAAACGTCGCAAACAGTCGCCCTTCTTGGAGCAGTTCCTCGTCCATTACTGGCGAGCCTGTATCCTATCCAAGGACTACCGTCGAACAAGTAGTGGTGGCAGGCTCAGATTCGGTCAGCTGGGATTGAAAAGAGCGGCAACACAACCACAAATATCCTTTCTCTTGCTCTTGTACCACGACAACTCAACTTGAACTCAAAGCCCAAAGCCCTAAATTTGCATAGCCTGCACCTACTGTTTCGGTCTTGGTCGTGCAACGTGGCTCTTCCGGGCTGCTCTCGATTTCTTTGCCGTGTACTCTTCCTAGCTCTTCCTCTTCTATTACCGTGCGATTCCTCTGGTCGCTTTCCAAACCTTCGGCGCTGATAGTGGACCTTATGACGGAATCCTCCATTTCGCCGTCCCATAGTCTCCATTCAAACCAAGAACGCTCACGCGGGGTGCGGGGTTAGTAAGAGAGAGAGAGAGAGAGAGAGAAAAAGAAGGCGCGGAATTACGGAGGATGGTATATATTTGCTGGCCCACATTGCGTACCTACACGCCAATGGCTTTCCACGAACTGGGTATCCCTCCCTCCGATGCTATCGTCTCGGTCAAGGTCTTCGATGTGGTCAGCGACATGCGCGACACGGCCATAGCTGCGAACCTGTTCATGCGACCGACCCTAATGGGCCACGAGATTATGCGTTGCCCCGTGTTTTCGTTCCTGGTCGAGCACGCCGCGACCGGGCGGCGCGCCATGTTTGACCTTGGTATCCGCAAGGACCCCGAGAACGGGGCACCGCACCTCGCGAATGTCATCAAGTCGGGCGACTTCGCCATGCCGGTGCATCGGGACATTGTGGAGCAGCTGCTCGACAATGGCGTGGATCTCGGTAGCATTGACGCTGTAATCTGGAGGCAGGTATTCCACCTGCTGAGGGGAAGACACGACTCACGCTTTTGGAGCCAGCCATGCACACTACGATCACGTCGGCGCGTACGATTGCCTGTGTGGAATGCGCTGGCCTAATTATACGACTAAAAATTAGGTGACATGTCCAAGTTCCCGGCCTCAACACACCTCGTATTTGGAGGGTCGATGCTGACCGATACCTGCGATGTGAATTCAAAGAGCACGTTACTCAAGAGTGACCTCGCGTCTGTCTCATCTCCCCTTAGAACCCAGATTCATTGACTTGTTGTTAGCGGCCGGAAATTGGTGCCTCTCCAGTTCGAGGCCTCCCTTAAAATTGGTGGGTTCAAAGCGCACGACTTTTTCGGGGACGGAAGTTTCTACATCCTTGACGTCCCAGGCGTGCGTACTGCTTCTTCCATTCCAAATTCATTCTGACATGCCGCCCAGCATCTCGCGGGTCATGTCTGTGGACTCGCACGCGTGACACCAACCAGCTTCGTATTCATGGGCGGCGACGTGTGCCACCATGCAGGCATGTTCCGGCCTACCGCCCAGCTGCACCGGTGTATGCCCTGTCCGGGCGAGTTGCTCGCTGCGGCGCGTCGCTCCGTGTCTGCCGTACATTTCCCCCCTCCCAACGCCACAGGAGAATTCGACCTACCTGCGCGCACGATGCCTATGCTTGACGTCGTGGACGACGGGTACTATGAAGAGCCGCCGACTGCACGGGCATCGATTGTGAAGCTCGGCGACTTTGATGCGAATCACGACGTGTTTGTTATCCTCGCTCACGACGGCTCCCTTGTGGACGTCGTGAGTCCCTTCCCCGCATCGCTGAATGCGTGGCAGGAGAAAGGTTGGAAGCAACGCGCCACCTGGGCCTTCCTTGACGAGGGGAATCCAGTGTTCAGGTTCAATGAGAAGGCACTTTGAGCACTGTGCTGTGTTCGTGGTTGTAAACTGGACATACAAGACCAAATTGTAAAATACTTATTATAACTGATAGTACTTAACATTTGTTACGCTTTCACCTTTGATCGGTTGTTTGAAACTTGGAACTTGAAGGCAACGAGCCATTGCGCAACGCAGAGGTCATCCTAATCCAAACTGGCTGGGCTCTTTGACCTTGCAGCCTCGGACTGACTTCTTGTCGAGCAAAATCAGCCCTTCTCGGTGTGACTTGGCCCCTGGCCGAAATAAGATAACTCACAAAAGGGCTACTCACAAAAGGGCTACTCTCGACAGCCCAATAGACCAACCTGCAACTAACCTGTCATCTCACAAGGTTTTGGCCCTTTCACCCTGCGTGCTCGGTCCCGGTCCCGGTCCCGGTCTCGGGGATGAGCAGCTCGGGCCATTTATTTCGACCACTGCCGCTCCAACGTAGCCTATGGCCCGCAGTTTGCTCCGTAGTACGAACCTGAAGATATGTCCTTCACATCTCTGTGTTTACTCAACACCATACCTGAATCTTTGCGGCCCTTCGGTTTACTACCCGAAGTAGTGACTGAACATGGTGTTAAATCTTGACTCAGCATTGCCATCCCCGTGTACAACCAATGACTCGATTCGGGGCGTTCATAGCGTTGGTGTCGATTGCGACGAGCAAAATTCAGCCGTTTTTGTCCACCGAATAGTTGCCATGCCTCAACAGAAAAATTATGTCCTCTCCAGCTGTTGGGTGGCCTTCAAGTTAAGGAGTTGAAGCCTCAGCCTGACTTGAGGGGTCCACAGATCAGCCCCTGTTTGACTTCACAGCCACTGATTGTCGATCGCGATCACCCGGCGCAGACCGGCCCGCCCAACCTAAATTCGTCTTCCTCGGAGCAAGCCTGTCTCCGCGCCGGCGAGCCGCTTCTCAGGTTTCCGTGTGCTGCAATGTCATGTGACGAGAGATTCGAACCGGTTACCTACTATAGAGCCAGCTCGAGTCACACACTCCGGAAAATAAGAAATTTTGGGGCTCCTGAAGAGGAAACCAAAACTTTAAGTGGGCCCGGGCCAGCTCCGAGTTATGACGTTCCAAACGTTGCAAAACCCAAACACAAAAAAAAACTTTTGTCCCGGAAAACTTTTTTCTTCAACTCTTAGATCAACCCTGTGTAGCATTCTGGCATCGTATATGAGTGTTACAACGTCATGCAGAACAACCAAGCCGGCAAGCATCGGGTGATTTGATGGGCATCGGCATTTCCCGGCATGTTCAGAAACTACATACAGGTTGGCCAGAGCTGGATAGACACTGAGTATGGTACAGCACGGTACAGCACATAGGTAGGTCAGTGGATGCCCACATTTCACATAATGAGTCGTTCTGCTTCGAATGCAAAATAAAAAATATTTTTTCAGGTTCATTGCAAACCTGTCAACCCCGTACATAAACGAGCCGCTTCACCGGGGCTTGAGTGTAAGCCAACACTGCAGCACTTGTGGTTAAGCCCGAAAACCTCCACTGGACTGTGGCTAATTTTTTTTGGTGCATGTGCCGGAAAATGCCGGCATCCATCAATTACCCGATCCTGGTCGCTTTGGCCGTTACCCGTGCTAACGGGGCCTGTTTCCTCTCAAAAGACATCTGATAGACTCAACTAGCATGCTTGGATGCCATACAGCGGTCCCTGGGTACTTGACAAAAAAAAAAATCTTCAGAAAAAGTTTTTTTTCGTGCTTTGGGTTTTGCAGCGTTTGGGACGTCATACCGAGTGACAGCGAAAGTTCGAATCATCTCGACTGCAGGTCACCAAGCAAAAATTACTCACGCTGAGAATTGAACTCAGGACCCCCGCATTGGATGCCGCTCTCTAGAACAAGCAGGTAACCTCATAAGAACGGTGCTCTAACCAGCTGAGCTACGTGAGCGGCGCAGGCGCAGCGAGCTGGATCGAGGCACCTTTCAAAACACACCTTGCAATCACGGTTGCTTCTTCATCGCAGCTTGTGAAAATTGAAATAGTAATAGACGCGTCGGCTGATGTTAACGTTAAATCTCTCGGCACGGAGTTGCAGGTCGGTCCCCGAGTTTTTCAAGGCGGACAGTCTATCGTCCACGACACATTCTTGTGATGAATGAACGCCAGGCGATGCATACACACACCGAAAAAAGTAAAATTTCAGCTCGGGTGAACACCCAGTCGAAAACAAAGGTTTCAGCCCCAGTTCAGATGGAATCTCAAAACGTTGCTGGAAACATTAGTTTCGACCGCAGTTTCGGCTGCAACGCGCCGAAACAATAAGTTTTGGGCTGGCCGAACACGCAAATCAGTAGTTTCGGCCGGCCGAAACTACCGTCGAAACAATTAGTTTCGGCTCTCTCGGCTGAAACGGCAGCCGAATGCACTGGCTCCATTTGCGTGTTCAGCTGGCAGCCCAAACCAGTGTTTTCAACTGGGTGTTCGCCTGAGCTGAAATTTCTCTTTTTTTTGGTGTGACATCTACCATGTTATGTGACACACTGATGATCGGCATAACGGGGAAGAAGACACGGAAATCCGCGGCTCATACGCGAGATGAAGAGGACACATTTGCTGGAATCGAGGTGGCGGAGCAGAAGGGCCGGGACTCGGCCACGAAGGCATACATTGGGGATGCGGTTGTCTTCCAAGATGATACACACGCGATAAAGATTGAAGCCGAGAAGCTGGCTGTCAAGTATTCAGACGCAGGGAAGAAACAAAGGGCAGCATCCAGCTCTTCGAAAGATGCAAAGAAGAGAAAGATGGACGCTGAGGAGATCATCGACATATCGAGCAGTGATTGATGATACCACTCATGGGTCCGCTAATCGTATTCGGTTCAAAGATTCCCAGTTAAATGGCGAATGGGATAATTAATTGTGTAGTGTCGTCTGAGACGAGTATAATATGTACATCCAAGACAAATCCAAGATATGCAAAAGATATGTGCGCCGGAGATCCCAACTTTGTGATGATGGAACTCCCCGGAACTCCGACTTTCTTGGTGTCGAGCCTTGGTCGAGCCAGTAGGATCTCCGATAACGTTAACGTGGTATTCGTAGCGTGTGCCGTAGGTATGGTCAAGGTTTTGTTGCCAGGTATCAACCTTGGAGAAAGCAAAGACGAAGGTTTGGAGTCGAAAATTTCGCTTACGCCAAGACGGCTGACAGAAGATGTGATTATCTGTGCGCCACCGCAGGCCGTAACTCTGCTACTTTAGTCAGCACGCGAAAGACATATAAACCCCTTCAGGTCGTCAGAGGACCTCATTCTCATGACATTCCAAGACCTGGGCATTCCTGACTCTGAGGCGACTGTATCAGTGAAGGCTTTCGATGTCGTGACCTCCCCGCGTGCCGTCTCCGTACCCGCGAAAGGGTTCATGAACCCTGTACTTCCCGGCCACGAAGCCCTCCATGCCCCTGTTCTCGCGTTTCTCATCGAACACAGTGTGACTGGGCGGCGCGTCATGTTCGACCTCGGCGTGCGCAAGGATAAGGAGAATGCGGCGCCGGCGGTCGTGCAGCTGTTCGAGGCCGGCGTCGGAGCCATGCCGGTCGACCGGGACATTACTGAGCAGCTCGTCAACAATGGGGTGGATTTGAACAGCATCAGCGCTGTAATTTGGAGGTCAGTTTTGAATCCTTCTACGTTGATCGAGTTAAACCTTTTCCCCAAAAACAAAAGTCATACACATTTCGATCACACAGGTGCGCTAATACACCCAGACCACCGTGGATTCAGTTAACCCTATTATTGAATAAGGGGACATGTCAAAGTTCCCCAGTTCGACAGATCTTGCATTCGGCCAGTCGACGGTATTAGCCACTTACGCTGAGGACCCAAAGAGCACATTGCTGGAGAGCGACTTGGCGTACGTTCCATTTCCACTGAATAAATGACAGTTCATCGACTTGGGGCAGCGGCCGGAACCTAGTACGCCTCAACTTTGACGAAACCCCCCTTCACATCGCCGGGTTCAAGGCATTCGACTACTTCGGAGATGGAAGCTTGTACGTCCTGGACGTGCCGGGCGTGCGTAGCCAAACTGTCCAATAATTCAGAAAGGCACTGATAGTAACTTCCGCACCATAGCATCTCATGGGCCACGTCGCCGCACTTGCGCGAGTGACACCCACCAGCTTCGTCTTCCTCGGAGGTAGGACTCATTGTCATTCGGAGTTTATACCTGCAAATAAAAGCAAACAGGGGATGCTTGCCACCACGCAGGGATGCTCCGGCCCACAGGAAAACTGCACCACCATATTCCCTGCCCGGGCGAACTCCTAGCTGCTACGCGGCGCTCCGTCTCTGTGATGCACTTTCCCACCACCAACACTGAAGGGGAATTTGACCTACCAGCGCGCACCACGCCGATGTTCGACGTCGCGGAAAACGGTGCTTACGAGGACCCGCCAACGGCGCGCGTGTCGATCGCGAAGATGTCAGATTTTGACGCCAATAACGACGTTTTTGTTATGCTGGCGCACGACGAGTCGCTCGTGGACGTTGTCGGACCGTTCCCCGTGGTGGTGAACGCGTGGCAGGAGAAAGGGTGGAAGGACCGCGTTACTTGGGCGTTCCTCGACGAAGCGAATCCGGCATTTAGGTTCAATACAAGTAAATGATAGAGGATGTCATGAAACAGGGAAAGTGAACGAGTGCGCAATAGTAGAGGGATATCGGAACATCCTGAGTGCTTCCAGCGAAACGAGTCAAAGCAGTTGAACCCAAAGTTGAAAGCTTTCAAAAAGCTGTGGTAGCAACCGGCAGCCACCAACGGAACACTGATCGCATCAATGCGATCAAATCCGCGTTTTCCAACCATCATCCCTCAAGATCGCGTTATCTACCATCAACTTACGGCAACCCTCGCTCCCCCCAAATATGGAAGTGCCGGCTGTTACCGGCCCCTCGAAAGTGCCTGTAGCCCCTGCAGTTTGCTCTCGTATCAAGGATATGCTACGCTGGGCCCTTTTGAACTCAAAGCCACCCACTCCCTCCCTCAACAGCGTCCGATTTCGACCAATACGCTGACGATTTCTGCTGACGAACGCAGAAACGTGACCGGATTAGGGAAGTTGATCAGTGATTCAGTGGTACATGCCACTGTACGGTCCAACCTCTTGCCTCCTTGCATTCGTTCTTGGTGGAGAGACGCGATTTGATCTAATTCCGCTATACCACCACCATATCTTTCCCTTCTCGACGCAATCTCGACGTTCAATCCCGTCAAACCTGGCCGGCAAACCGTCGTATTATGAATTGAGGCTGGAAGTGATAGAGCGTCTATCGATCCCAGAGACTTCACTGACTACTCCGGTGTTTCTGCAATTTCGCCATCCTTCATTCACCTTACCTTCAGCATGTCGCGATAGACACCTTCGACCACGCAGGATTCCCAGCGACATAGCGCTCTATGGAAGACTGAGATGGTTCACAGTGTATCCGTGGTGTGCTGATGGTTTGCCATCTCTCTTTTCGGGATCAGGACCAAGATGAATGGTGGTCTTGAGGATAATTGTGACCACCGGATCAAGGTCTTCCCCATACGCGAAATCAGGGAGAGGAGAAGGGTTGCACTCAATTGTACGACGTTATGAAACCCCGGTTCCCGTGAATAAAGCGATAGACATTGGTCGTTTGTATCGCAGAGGTTGAACGAAAGCGTCTTTGTGATGAGAATATTTTCGGGGTCAATTGCGGCGTGTGAATAATATCGGCAAGTAGCGAGTTTGACTCGTCGGACTTGTGTGCCTCATCCTCGAACACCACACTGTGCCACACACGACCTCATTTTCTTGCTCCCGTCCTCCGCTCGCCCACGGCGCTCCTACCCCTCCGTGCTCTCATTTGACCATAGGAGCCAGTAACAATGGTAGCACTGTCCCTTTTTAAACGAGTGGAGCACATCTCATTTTCGGAGTTTTAGGGTCAAACACTCTCCTCCCCAGGTCTGCTTGCACATCCATCCTTTGGGATCCGTTTCTTAGATGTTATTTCCAGCCACCCAGAAGTTTTCAGAGTCGGGTGGCAATGATCGCTTCCACTACGCGGTTACGGAGATGCAGGGCTGGAGAATCAGTAAGTCGACTGTTATCTCTGTCGAGCATACATCTAGTACATCGTTCTGATGCCCTTGCCCCCTCGCAGCGATGGAGGATGCCCACGCCGTTGTGTTGGACCTCGATGAAGGAAAAGAAGACACCAACACATTTTTCGCAGTATACGACGGTCACGGTGGTCCGTCCATCGTTTTTTTCAATCCTTCATTGCATCGCCTTCATGCTGCTCTGCAGGTGGTACCGTCGCCAAATTTGCTGGACATAATGTCCATAAACGATTAGTCACCGAGGAGTCGTACAAGGAGAGCCAGTACCCCGAGGCCCTCAAACGCGCGTTCCTGGGCACCGACGAGGATTTGCTGGCTAGTCAGTGCCACTGCCGGTCCATATCTTCCTTGATCTTATGCATCGCGCCCTATACTTAGACCCAGCACATACTCGGGATCCTTCAGGTGCCACCGCCGTCGCAGCTTTGGTAACGAAGGATAAGATCTATGTCGTGCGTGTTTACAGCTTTGCGACACACCGGGAGGTCCTGATGACTTCCAGGCAAACGCCGGTGATTCGCGGTCTGTTATTAGCGTCAAGGGTGAGGTTAAACCCCTTAGTTTTGATCACAAACCCTCGAATGAAGGTCTGCTCATCGCCTTTGTCCCCGATGTTTCTTTTCTGACCCATCCCAGTCGAGAAGACCAGGATATCCGGTGCTGGTGGTTACATCGAGTTCGGCCGTGTCAATGGTACATTGTTGTCTTGTCACTCTGTTGCAGCGAACGTTGACAAATCATCTAGGCAATCTCGCTTTGTCCAGGGCGCTGGGTGACTTTGAATTCAAGAAAAA